TGCTTTAGCCAGGGCTTACTGCCTTGCCACCATAGAATCTGCCTGGAGATCAGTACTGTGGCATATATATCACGCACTGTCTCTATTCATATCAATAAGTGGTGTGGTGTGTCTTTAACTTGATTTAGGTGTGACCCATAAAAAACTGCACTCCTAACAGTAGTCAGCAAATTGATACATATAACAACAACAGGTCGATGCACAAGCGGGATTGCCACCACAGCAAATCGCACTGTGAGCATGGGAATTCAGCAGAAGTATAAAACAAAGCACTGTAAGGATTTGGTACATGATAGAGGCTACGTCAGTTCCATAAGAAACTTTGAAACTCGGTATTAAGGCAGCTGGTGTAGATATGGAAAATGTGTTTCCCTGTTCGCAAAAGCTATTGATCTTATGGCTATGTTCGTTTTAATTAATGATGATTGTCACATAAAAGAGTGCCATTGTGTATAAGTCATATTTTATGATGATGTATGATCCGTTTTCATTTTACAACATGTGGAGATAGATTAGAAGTGAGATTGATCTGTAAATGGCGAGCGTGGTTTCTCTGGTCAGTATCATCAGCATTCATCACATCCACCACTAATTAGGTCAGTTAGACTTACTAGTCGTAAATCAGCTGTTTTGTTGTCTAAACTCTACCTGTCAACAAACTTCTGTGTGGGGTTAATGTGGGATTTTACAGCAGGAGGATAATGTTTAACCTGAGACTAAGCAGAAATGTCGCCTGTCAATTCTAGCGACGTAAATGTTATATATGTGACAGAATAACCTACATATGTCTCAATATGATAAAGTTTTGTGGTTTGTGGTGTTGAAAAGGTATTTCATCCAGCAGAAAAACGGGCCATTTCTAAATAATGATATATAGCAGAATGCCATGGTTTGAGTGTGCTTGATGTGTGTGTTACACGTTCCGTTTGGTAAGATTTAAAGCATCTGCCGCTCGACACAGCTATACTCGTACATAAATACTAGCAAACAGACGAAGGCATGTGTAGAGGGGGGGGGGAGTGTAAATGATGTTTGTGTGTACACATGTTAAGATGCCACGGGAAAGATAAGACTATTATCCACATTCTTAACGAATAACCTTTCTGGTCTCAATACCGACGTTTAGTCGTCGGATTGTATATACACAAACTACTGGTTCAAGTAAACTCAAGTTCGGTGGGTGAACTTTTCAGATATATACTAGTATATCGCACTAGTATATCGCGATGTTTTGATCGGATTATAAGATACAACAGTCTTCACCCACAGATACAGTCCTTAACCCGCATGCAGAAATACTAGTAGCCTGCAAACTTATCAAACCTGCCTACCGGACATAATGAAATATTACCAATAGTACTTGTAGACAGTTGAAGTAGCATAAAATGCCACCGACACTGTTGTAAATCAGTAATGAGAGCTGGGATAGGTCACATCGACACGGATTCGTGGCCATTTATTTGTACGTTCTGTGTAAGTCATCGCCGTTGTCAGGTACACAATGAAGAAATCATCAATTCTGTACAGATGGGACCACAAGTCCACCTGGTGATATATGGCGAGACGGGAGGTATGTTGACGGTAAGCGGAACTCAGCTGTATACATACTACAGACGTCTCACGGAAAGTCACAACAAAACACCTTGGTACAGGAAATCCTCGACAGTTTCTGCTCTGTTCTTATCAACCGCTAAATCGCAGTTTACACTCATCACCTGTCCTGAATCAATTCGTATGTTTGCAAGGTTATCGACTACCCAACTATAATTCCGCGGATCCGTTGTACCTTGATAAAATACAATAGTGATGCTGAGATTTCCTGTCAAATTTCACCCAGCCGTTCCGGAGTGTTTACGCGCAGACTGTGCGGGCGGACTCCTGTATCGAACTCACATGGCATGGACGTGCTCACAGCCGCCATGACGACTTTCCTCATATCAACACACGAAGAAAAGTAAGCACGGGCCTGTATTGTTGTTTCTGTCATCGCAATAGGACACGGTTAAGGTGATTCATTGTGTCTCTTTGTGTAGGGTTAGCGTCTAATACGCTCATCCCGACGGCGTTGTAAAGTATCTGGACATGAAGACAACACCGAATGGATACAAATAAAGTCCGTTAGTTAGCTCAGTACAAAGAAATCTTATCACGTCTTCCCTTCTTACTAATAACTCACTCACTCGCTGACTGATTGCTGGTTACTTCGGAACAACAATTTGTTTACGCTAGACTTGTTACAGTTCCAACATCTTGACCTAACACAACAAACCCTAGCACAACACAACAAACCCGCAGCTCTTATGATAATGTTTATTAATGTACCTATAGACAAAAAAATCACCTCATGGCGTGTTCTGGTAATAAAAACATATTAACGAAAGTCTTCATCTCCGTCATCGTTTCATTTATATTATCCATCACTTTTGTCCTAAGCAAATTGACAAATGAAGGGCCCAGAACTTTATTTTGAAACCTCTCACATACGTTGTTAACAGCTTTACTTAAAATACAATAGGTTGACTGCTGTTGATGAATATCTTAACGTAATCTCCAAGCAGATCTTTTGGTAGGGGTAAGACAGTATCAAATTGGCCAGTCTGTAACCATTTCCCCACCCTTGGTGTCTTACCCCCACCAAAAGATCTGCTTGGAGATTGATCTTAACGTACCTTCCAAAGTTATCTCATTTCACGTCACTTCTTTGGCCGGCTTTAGACTGACGACGATTGAATAGTCGTGCGAATATTTATCGTCAAGATGTTTCAGGCGACGGTATTTTTTGTTTTGTTTGTCAGACCTGGCGTGTGACAAGGTGACCGGAAATGAGAAAAACATCCGCTAAAGCTCTTCTGTGGGATTTCCGGATTGCTTGCCCGTGAACCCAAGAAGTAATTTGTATTAACGTAAGAACCTGTTCTGCTGGCTACATGAGGCCCGGATTATTTTGCTGGCTACATGAGGCCCAGCTATTATACTCAACTATATTAAACTCAAGACCAATCATGTTAACATGTGTTCTGCACCGGTAAAGTTGAGGCAATCGGCTGTAAACAAGATTTGACAACATGACTTCACTTCAATAGACAATGACAAGGGAAGCAGTCTGAGTTTGTGTATTAGTGATCACTTATTTTGTAACTACGCTGTTGGAAAGTACGAGTTGGATTTCATGATCCGCACTCTTCAAGCGCATATAATTGGCCAGCTCTGGCATAGATATTATATGCTTATCTACAATAGCAGCAGTTCAATATGACGTCCAATATACCAACGCAATACGGGTGGTTCTAGGTATTTGTTGGCAGTATTCAATAATAAAGGCACTCCTCACATAGCTTCTTTAAGGCTTTTCCCAAACCCCCAAGTACTGACAATAATTGTATAGCATTGATAGGTGCATCAGTGACCTTTCCTCACAAAAGACCCAGTGATAAAATTTTAATGACTCCCTTCAAGGAGCTCTCGTCCCCTCCACCTAGACTCTGCAAACACTCCACGTCCAGGCGTCCCGCTACGTCAGCATGCGCGCAGCTGCAGCTCACGTCTGATCAAAGAGCGTACTTAGTGACCGGGAGTCAGACGGCTGCTCGCCCGCTGCACACGTCGGTGGCGTTCCACCGGCCAACACTTCACTGAACTACACCTGTAGTCCCGCTGTCAGCACACAGAGCCGCGGAGCTGACTGCAGACGGCACACGGCGGGAACACAGTCCGTCTGTACCGCCCTGCGGCCTGAGAGACCCCGGCCGGGACAAGCGGGTGTACTGTACATGTACAGGTGAGCACTCGGTCCTGTTGACTGTGACGGAGTGTTTGATCGATAAGTGACTCCTGTAGGAGTTTAAGTCAGGTGTGCCACTCTTTACCACAAGGAAGTAAGCTACGAATAGAGACTACATTTTTACGCACTAAAGGCGAAAGTATAGGTATGATTAGTTTTGTTTCCAAAATGAACATGTAATGCAGAAATGTCCGAGGAGACTTTACAAACGACAATATTTCTCCGAGAATTGTACTTGAAAAGTAGGGCGTACAAACAAGCATTCGCTGTTGGAAGCGCAAATTTAAAGATTTGCCAAGTACACTAATCATTTTATGGCGTCCTTTTCGTTAGGTCCATTTAACTAAGGTGTGGTCAATTTGACCCTTGGTTTTCTGATGAGGTACTCAGGGCTAAATATGTTTGTTAAATCTCCTGTGGTCATTAGATACGGCAGTATCAGGTTAGCGATCCCAGCACGCTTCATTATCTAAATCCCAAAGTCATCAGTGGAGCTTAGGTTATTATATCAGCTCCAGTGTGGATGTGTGAAATCCTCGCCAAACCAATTAATTTGTGGTGGTTGCCAGGACCGGCCATGAGGGGTCAGACCTGTCCTAGATATCCACCCACACATCCTGGGTCGTGACGCGTCTTACGGCACAAATAAAGGCAGCCTCGTTACCCCCAGCATTGTGTTCGCCAGGAAACCACTTTTATCTGGGCGATCACAGAAGTATCTAGGGGTCTACTGTCTTCAGAAAAGTGCAGAACGCCTTCTAGTCATTAAGGTTTTTGAAAATGACATTTCTGTGTTGTTCTGTTTTGTGTTGTGTTGTGTTGTGTTGTGTTGACGATACTGGGCGCTATCAAAGAATAGTTCAGATGAAGGCGATGATAAATTTGACCCTGGTTACATCAATCATGATGCCGAAGAAAATGGTTGAAAACTATGTTATTACACAAACTAGCAACTATGCACCAGATTCTAATGTTTTACCTCACGACAATAAAAGTAAGCATGCGCGGTAACTTCATTATACTAAAGAATGATCATAGCCATTCAGTTCTGTTTCCTTCTGAGGTCTATGGGAGAAAGAACCTGAACTTGTGGAACGGCATGTAGATTACTGTATAGACCTTATATAGTCTACTGAACGTCATCCCCACCGATACTTGTCTGGATGCCCATGTCTCAGCGTCGTCACAGCTCACTGAGAATTCGTACCTGGAAAATTGTGTGCCCGGCCGAGTAGTTCCGGTTGCGCATAGCAAATCAGTGAAAGACTCTACCTGCATGTGGCGGGCACTTTGTAAACTTGGCATTCCTCACGTAGTTCCCTGGAGAATAGACTTATTGTTGACTAAGAATATTTGATTTGCAATCTTTGGGGGTAACGCCCCAGGCGATTTTGTAAGATGAGACGCGAGAGAAAGTTTCCAGTCTTCCGTGAACATGTAAATATTTAATTGGATAAAACAACAAGAAACCTGAGGAGGCCGTCGAAAAGACGACTAAGAACTTGAACCTGCCTAGACTTATTCCTTTCTCTTTCTATACTGAAATTTTTACGAGACTAAGTTCAGAAAATCCTCGATTCGTACTTATCTACTTTTTAGTATCACTTGTTGCCCAGAACGTTATGGTTGACACACACCCCCCCCTCCCACTTAAATTTCCGTGCCTCGACTGTGAGCTTAGGGTTAGACCTGGGGAGATGTAAACTGACGTCATAACACTGATTGTTGCTGGACGGAGACGTGTAAGGGCCGCGGTACAGAACGCAGGGGGTGGGGACAACCGTACATAATCTCTAACACTTCACATGGGAGTCACAACAAGGTCTCACAGTTTGTGTGCCGGTCCCGATTTCGGAGCTCTGTCAGGAACAACCAGGACTACAGTTCCCACAGGTATGTTACTCGCTAATGCCCTGACAATGTCCGTGGTAGGATGGATATGCAGCTCTTATGTGCCTCACTAGTGTATCAGGCTTGTGATATTCAAGACTTTATGGAGTAGCAGTCGCGACCATTTTCAAGGAAATGAACGGGGTAGGTAGAAAATAAAAGCTTGTAGGTGAATATATTTCCTCTAAATACTTCCGCCACGTTGGTTATGAGAGATATATACCAGGCCATAGTCATTGTAAAGCGTAATGAAGGAAATATACAAAAGGAAGAAGAAGTCGTTGAAGAGGAAGGAGGAGTTTTATCCACAGATAAACAGGCCTGTGCGGTTTTCACCTTCAGTGGTGTCTGTGCAGGAAGAGTGATACATATGACAGGAGAGGGTGGGGTGCCTTCAATCTACCAAGTACCTTTCTCCTAGGACTAGGTTCGTCGACGTTTGAGTTTTTTAAACATTATACCAAGGGGGACTGAAATATGATGCAGGGACAAATTCACGTCCAGCGCACGTATATATCAACATTTTAAATAGTTTCCACATGTGGGGAATGTTCACAGTACACATTAATGACGACCTATGGTACTGAGTGTTTGGTGACAAAACCCTATCCATGTACTTACGACAAATTTTAGATTGTAGAGGAAAGCTATCCGTTGTGATATACAGCAGGGTTGTTTCTTGTAGTCACAAAGCATGTGGGATTTTCATTAAATTTCCCACATCTTACTTTGATCGTGGGGGTCTCTATAATGACGACTCATAAATCAACACCTACGAATCTCATAAATTAATTCATTAATTAGCGATATGGTAAAATACTAATAGCACAACAAGAAACGCGCCGCTCTCGTGCAATGTTGCTATAGTGTAACACTGTTCATGTCGTTGGGAGCAACTGTAACTTTAACCCGAATTGCCAGGGGATGTGTAAGCGTGGAATAATTCCTTCAGGGCAACGGGTGGTTTCTAGGAGAGCTGCAAATGTTGAACAATGAGATGCTTGGATACGATGTAGACCTACCGAAATGTTCAACAAACCTTGTCATGCAGAATGGTTGAAAAGATACAGAACGTGGGTAGAACTTTTTATAGCGATATATGTGCTGTTTCGCAACTACCTGAATCCAATTTAGCTGAAAGATTTGCACTATCTGAAAACAAGTACGGGGGAATTTTATAACGTCACAGAAGGGAAGTCAACGGAACATATCTGAGCACCCTTGTAGTGATGCGGTAATTTGTTTACTAGTAATTAGTCCTTCGATCTGTTTGTCTGTCGATCGATTTGACCCATGGATAGCTGTAGATGTGGAGCTAATCAAAGATCCAAATACGTTTCCATTGATTCCAAATATCTTCCTATTCTATACAATCACATATACGGCTTCAACACAGATACAAAATTATTAGGATGTTATTGCTTTTACATTAAATCCCAATAAGTTCCCCTTCAAGCTCCCTTAATGATTAATCTCTTGAAATTACGACTGAAGATAACATCAAGAACGTCAATCAAACGACTATGAACCGTCAACAACAATTGCCCCATATTGTCTGCTGTCATGTTCTCGACGCTACCTATCAGATTATATGTCGTAAACCTGTCATGTTAGCCGAGACGGCGAGAAATTACGATTTGTAGGCGTGTGTACATGAACGCTGGCACGAACCTTCACACGCAGATATACGGAACGTTAACAGTCGGTAAATGTTACGAGGGCCGACTGGGCATTGCCTGGCCGATTGGATAGTGTCTTGGCCCAGAGAGATCTGCTTGAAGAATAGTTACGACGTCCTCCCAGCACCTGCTTTGAGATTACATGCCACAACGCCAGCTGACGCTCTGTGGCAATGGTTTTGACACAAAACACCACACTTTTTCTTCTGCACACCCTAACCGAAATTCTCCGACCTATCCAAAAGTCATCTGGGGACACTGCTTACAAGTCCAATATTCACTCATCCTTGTCAATGTCGGAATGATGTGTAAATCGATAACGTATTGTTGTCAGTTGGCACACTTGTCATGGGTGAAGAGCACGCGTGTCCTGACATGCACATAAGCAATTAGCAAGGACATAGCCTAAAGCTTTAATAGAATCGATCATGGCTCCCTCCTCACTGATTATCATTGCAGTCAGAGCGCTGTAAACATGCAATTCGTCATGTTCAAGCACAAATTTCGCATCTATCCCATTCTCTACACTTCTGATTTAGAATGTCTAGTGTGCTATTGGGTATTTTTCTTTGTACGTTTTGATGAGAGTTGGAATTACTTTGCGTTATTCCATAAAAGATGACCTAGAAATGTTCAGAACGTGTGAAAGACTACTACAAAGACTACTACATGTATACCGATACTACAGAGGGTAACACCTTCTAGTGTCGTCGATCTGCCTTTGAATGGATGTTTTGCCACTTTTGGTGACATAAGATATGGCAACAATAGGTGAATTGGGAATCGTCCCAAATGACTCTGCTGTTCAAATTGTTGCGTGTAATTGCCCAGAATTAACAGAGTCAATGTCCTGTAGGTCAGGCGTTAACCTTTTCGGAGCGTGACATGTTGCCAATACAGTATTTCAAGAGGTTTCAAAATACCATCATACAGTAATATGTAGATCATGTAGATTCCTTTGGAGTTTCCTTCTACGTTATTGTACATCATTAGAGATGCTTAGGGGCATTAGATACACCTCTGATGAAATAGAATGCGATTTGAACAATATTGACAAGACAAGAACGTAATTGGAAATAGCGTTTCATAAGCGAAGACAACTTCGTAGCATTTTTATTTCCTACAGTCCTCTCTAGAAACATTCCCAGTGAAGTCTCGCGTGACAAACTAAATCTCGCGACTCACACGGACTATTATGTGTTGAGCTGCAGCTGATTGATATATGTGTATGAACACAGCATATATCTCCACCTGAAAAGACAGCGGAAATTGTGAGAAGCTGGCCTCTAAAAGGCTTTACAATTTGGTCAAAGACAGATTTAATCTCTGTGGGCCCATTAGTTCAAAAAGAAAAGATGGTGGTACGTTAGACAATTACAGCACCTGCTGTAAACGTTCACACAGCGAACAGTAGCAGTAACTTCATTTCACCCACTTTCCAGCGGTCTAGGAAACCTCATTACAGGCCGGTCGTGTTTAATATAAGCTTTACAAATGTTTACTTTGCACGGCTCTCACAGAGACCATGTCCATTGAGAAAGAAATACTCTTTCGTTTTCTGGATGCACCATTGTTCCTTGAGATTATCGGTCCCCCTGCCCTTGGAAACGGAACAACATTTACCACGACTGTGCAAAAGGTGAGTCCGGACTCGGCTAAACGTAATCAGGCTTTTCACTAATCTTGTATGAAGTGGCATGCCGACAGACGTGGGGCAGTAATGTACGTGTTGTCCGGAGTCACCCATGCACGCGCTCACCTGTTGGCCAGTTCGGAGGGTACGTGGGATAATATTTAGAACGGTCACTGAGGACTGACCAGGGGTGGGCGGGCGGAACATCGTTCCAACAGTTCGTCATCACCAAGGAGATCCCTACTAACTAACGTTGTTACAATACTTACACTGGTCGTACGCAGGCTAAGAGATACAGGTCATGTCAGGATAGAGTCAGGGATAGTTTTGAAAGTCGTGTGTGAGAAGACATAGTGTTCTAAAGACACTCTAACACGGATGGACTGAGACTTGACAAACGACAATGTGCTTCCAAAGGTTACAGTTGAACCCGCCAGACAGCTGTACGTGCCTGCCCTAGTTGTTGTATGTTCCAGTCTTGATGGGGACGATGAAGGAGAAATTATCCTACAGAAGGATCGAAGTTGTCACCATAGAAACTACAGGTTGTCCCTAGGAACGACACCCGACACCTGACTCCTCGTAGGCCGCGTAATTGAGGCATATTATAGTCAACAATTGACGGGAAATTAAATTTGCTCACCATTCAAAGTTCATGTCAAAGCACTGATACGTCTGCATTGGTATTGGAGGGGATCGTCTAGCACGACGGCGTTTTGCGCTAAACAAAAATACTTAGGTTGGAAGCAACTCTTTCCAGTGATTTAGAATTTGATCAGTTGAACGAAAAACAAAGCCAAGGCTCTTAATGGTCTCGATCTAGACGATTTGCGTACAACAAATTGCATTCTTTTCACCTACGATTAGTTGTTGATGAAGTCGTGACATACTTTTTTACCCGGCGCCAGGTTTCATTAGCGCACACGCAATGGGCATTTGCATATCCTTATGGCCTAGTTTTTTTATGACAATTACCATTCAAAGTGTAGAGTTTGCGGAGCGGGACGTATGGTTTGTTGCCGGCCACTGCTTTGTTGTGACACCCTGGTAATTCTATTATAGTTGACACTGTGTACAACTGAGTTTTCATCATCTACTTACTCTACTTACTTCACTTGATGCTGAATTTTCAACTTGATACTTAAGATCCTTGCACGCATGCGACAAATGAATTAACTCCACTTGGGAGGTGCTATTCTATATTCGTTAAGTTGACGTTACAGTCACCGTCCTAGAGGGTCTGTAGGATAACCATTGACCAGATATAGTGGCCTTTCAATCAGCCTGAGTTAAGAACGGTCTATAAGGAAATAATATTAGCATCCCGGAGACAGGACCTGACGCCATCTTGGTTACCTTGGTGTCTCCTTACGTACGTACCATGCTGAACTGTCCCTATCAGTTTGATCTCATCATTTGTCTTCTTGTCCGCAGCTTGTAGCGGTTGGCGGGAAAACAGAGAAGACTCTGCTGTCTACACCGGGGTTTGAGCTACAGGGTCGCTCCTAGCCGGGTCTGAACGGCGACTTCACCGGCTCACACACACACACCACGGGCGGGCAGAGGACCTGACGTGTTCAGGATGTCGCACGGCTTCTTACCTGCCATCCAAGTGAACGGACAGACAGGTCTACCTCCGTCACCGCCACACAAACGGCAAAACCTCAGCACAGAGTCGCCGACTGCAGCGACAGCGGGTTCGCCGGGGTCTACAACAGGCGCCGCCCAGTCACGACCGACCGCCAGGCTGCCGGGGATAACCAGGAAGGATTCTGACTTTGTCAGCGGTGGGAAGGGTCCAGAGATGGAAACACAAACAGACAAGACAAAGCAAGTCAGGAAGAAGAGTCGAAGTCCTCGTCGGAGAAAGAAGATGAACAGCTGGCACAGTTGGCCGGATGTGGACTCACCAGATAGAATGTTCCCGGATATCATGTGTATGGATTCAAAAGAAGGTAGGGGCGTATCTCAAGTGCCCGGCGATATGAAGCACGGCAAACAGACAAAACTGCCTCAGCTTACGGTTAACAACACACACGCGGACAGTATAAAGTCACCCCCTGTAAACAAGAAAGCGAAAAAAGACAAGCATAATAGTGACAGTAATGACAACAGGTTGCAGCCACCGCGTTCAGAAAACACAAACCACGGTGTGATCCTGCCGCCGCTGGGGCATGGTACAAACTGGAAAACATTCCAAAGAACAGGAGAGGACAATACAACAAGATGTAAGAGCGTGGACTCGGAGGTCGGGTCGGCGAGCGAGGAGACGGACTCCAGAATGAGCTCCCCGGAGCTGGACCTGAAGTGCACCTCTTGGCTGGAAGGCCTCCGCAGAGCACAGTCAGACGACCTGCTACTGCTGAAACAGTCCACACAGATGAAATAGACTTTCTCAAACAGTCTAGATGTGGAGTCTGGAACTCTCAGTCTAGTCAATGGATGTAACATGTGTGAGTGCAAATTTATCAGTATTTCTGCAATATGGATTTAATCCTCGAAGGAAGACCGAGACTGGTCGGTCACCGCTGTCACAGAATAACAGACACGACCATTGTGTCCAGTCGCCTGCAATTATGTTCTAAGTTCACTATATATGCTAATAAGTTGCAAATACATAACCATTGTCGTTCCGTTCATCACTTGAACTCAGTGAACACATAGGCTTACTTGAAAGTTTTCAATATTTCAGTACAGTTTCGAGTTAGAGATCTTCACGTGTAAAGAAACGTGACTGCTACCTTATTGTGTTTATGATTTATTGACAGCGATGCATACAATACATGACACGTTATTAATATATCTAGAGTTATATAGGCCGTCGCGGTATCCATGCGACCGGTTGTGAGCAGTCAACAGGATCATGATTTGACGATCATTCACGTGCATGTTCTGTTTTCCACCCGATCGTGAGCGTAGCTGTCAGAAAACCCAATGAAGCATGTTTCGACGAAATGAAACCGTACGATAGAACTGGCTATCCACTGGAACACAGAGGCCCTCATACATACGTACGGTATTGGCGTGTTGAAACTATTTGTGCTGTTCAATAATGTTACTTCACTTAATGAATCTTTGTTATATATATACTACTCCTCGTTACGTATGTGAATTATATGTTCCGTATAATACAATCCATGTGAGAACAAAGCAGGCCGTATGACGGTTTGTACTGTAATGAGTCGTTTTTCCCGCTGTCATCACGTGGCGGCGGGCTAATTTGACGCTATTATCTGTGGCGTGACAATAGGCTCATCAGCCTCCCTAATCTCCTATTCAGGGCAGGTAGTGAATAGATGTATGCTGGGAGTAATCACCCAAGGGATGGGGAAATGGTTACAGACTGGCCAATTTGATACTGTCTTACCCCCACCAAAAGATCTGCTTGGAGATTATGCTGGGAGAGCATCTCTCAGAGCTGTGTCCGGATCCGCGAAGCTAATTTCCGTCTCCTGTACAGTCGTTGCCAACGGTCGATGCCATATCGCAGAATTCGATCGGCAAGCTTTAGAACCCTCCACCAACACGATGATGTTTCGTGGCCCAAAGGATTAGGCTTTTGACCCCGGGTTCGAATCCAAGTTTGAGCTCTGTCTTTTTTCCTTACTATTTTTCACGGTGCCGTTGTACATTTGCAATTGAAATGTTACCTTTTTTCGTTTTAAATGATTTTGCCCCTCAAAAAAGTTATGATACTCTCGAGCTCGGATATTGCATCTACCATTTAGCAATACGGCACCGACCGTTTACGAGACGGAAACAAGCGTCTCCAATAGCGGCGTGATCGCATTTTCTATGTGATCCGTGAAGAATTCCTAATAAGGTGTCAGGGCTGTTTGGATGAAAAAAAACGTTCCGATAGCTAATCGTGATTTAAGCAGGATTGAAAAGTGTGGTCTAAATATGGCAACAAAGTATTCTCCCTACGGGCTCCCGGCTTTCCGGCATTAAGACTAATATGTGTTGCTAAATTGGAGGGTTAAGAGAAGAGACAATTACTGTCATCCTCTACAGATTGTGTAGCTGCGTTCATCCTCTACAGAATCTGTGTACATCACATCAGGAACAATGGCGAGAGGCTTCCTAGTCTTTATGACGGACTCGAGCAGCGAGAACTTATGAAACAGTAACTGCAGTGGTATATTCTGACACTGCACTGACACTGGCGACATGGTGTCTCCACAAGTATAAGTGTTGGCCCCACCGGGTCCTGATCCCAGAGGTGTTGTCCCTAACACTGTTCTTTGTGACCACAGCCGACATCGTACTGAGGTTTTCTAAGCATGTCAGGAAGTAAGCTAGACGTTTTTAGTTTCCTGACATGGTTTTGTTATCATATAAAACAACCTGTTCAATAGGACACAATGATATGATACCGCAGACAGAGAATCGCCTTCGTCATTGAGAAAACTACTTCCCTTTCAAGAAAACGAATTGACACCGGGGCTCTCCTACTGTAATGTGATTGCAATAGCATTTTCAATGCCTTTGTGATTGGAGGACAAGGAAGCTAAGAGGGCTATTTAGAGAAAAACGGGGATACAAAAACGCCAGAAAGTATTATTGAGGATACGAAAATGATCATGATATAATAGAGAGGGGTATTTGTTCCTGAACCTACATACATCAACTTTTTTCGACTATTCATTTCATTGGAAAAATTGGGGGCATACGCTGCCTTGGAGGGTTCAGGATATGAAGGAAACGCGTCATCATAGGGTAGGCGGGCTCAAGTACCATGTTATACCGACAGAGGTCGCTCTTGCCATGTAATGCTGGTGCTGCCCGAACTGTCATCAACATTTAGATGAGCATTGCGAATTTAGTGATACATGGTCAGTAATGCATACAAAAAGTAGCAAAAGTAGCGTGATCAACTCACGGTTCTAGAAATTATCCCACTGATGTAGTCTGCTAGGTTCTAATTTCAAACACTAACTGATATGGGTTGGTTGGTTGTTTGACCTCCATGGTTTGAATAACTCTGTTGTCTTGTGGGGTTTCTCCCTAACTATACAATACAGGCGCTTGTTAGCCTCTACCAGGCTGGAAAGAAGCGTATGGAAAGCGGCGCCTGAAAAGATTAGAAATTGGCCAAATAGAGAGATAACATACCAGGGAGTTGGTCCGTCGGAGAGTACAGTTTGCCGCGAGCGCCTCCCTAAGCCTAGTAGAATCGAGGAGCTTGTAAACGGCGTTCAGGCATCATTGAAACATTTCTTCCACAAACAGTATGTTTTTCAGATATCTAAATGTACGTTTCCACCACACATTTATTTCTACCGTTGGACAGATATTGATTTCAGTCGGCAAAACTGGTAACTTATCCGGTGGGGTCGTACCTTGTCCTCATCGCACCGTTCTGAAGCGCCATCTACTAAAAGTTACAAAAACTGCAAACCACTTGCTGCACTACAACATAGACGCTATTCTGGGTTTTATGTGTATTGTTTATCGTCTTTCATTAAAACAGAAACACATGAATTAACTAACAAATGACTCACAAAAAATCACATAAATCAAATCAGCTGTATCACCTTTATTCTTTCGTAAATCTGCATCTGGTTCTATAGAACAAAATGTATTTTCTTTGTGAGGCATCACCAATCTTGTAATATTTACTGCGTTAACTGTTCCAACTTATGTGCTCTCCTTAAGTTCGTCATATGCATATATAACAGGCCTCCACTGACTGATTCACTCACTCACTCACTCACTCACTCACTCACTCACTCACTCACTCACTCACTCACTCACACTCACTCACTCACTCACTCACTCACTCACTCACTCACTCACTCACTCACTCACTCTTGCGATCTCTGTTTAATTCCTTGTGAGTCGTTCTCAACATTTCCTTTGGTCACTCCCAGTTTTCCCAGTTTGTCCGAGCAGAGAGCGGGTATTTTCCACTGGTCACTGATAAAAGTGTCACTCTGATGTGTTGTCATTGATAGATGTGGTTGATAAAGTTGTGTACCTCCGAGTTAATGATTGCCTCCAGAGCAGGGTTTGAGTGACAGCTCCTACTCGGCATTACACAAGGCATCTTTTACGTACCGAGGAAGACTTCTTTACGAAACCGCGAGGAAAAAACAGGAAGATGGGGACACAAAAGAGGGAAAAACAACCACGGCTATCCCACTATACCTCGATATGTACGTGACAGGGGCTGTAGTGAGTTCTTAATGGACCCTTAATGTGAGAAGAAACTAGGATGGATAATGGAAAGACTCCCGAGAAATGCAAGATACAGAAAATGGCAAAAGTGAACTTCAAGTGCCACGCATTGTTTCTAATTACCCCCGGTAAAAGGAATGCAGGGGTACAGGGGTACCTCTAGAAAGATTTATTGTCGGATTAAATATCAGGAACACTATGAACAATTTGGAGCAGGTACAAGAAACCAAGAGTAGGTCACTGCGAAAAACATATTTGGTTACAAATAAATTCTATTTCAACCTGGTTCGACCCTCTACCCTCGTGGGGAAACGATACAATATGATACAACGCCGTGCAATACAGTCATGAACGGTACCCAACACATTGGAACAGACCTTTGACCCTTGTCGTAGGGACACGTACATATTCACCAGCACGGCCAGGTCCTTCAAAACTCGCACAATCTGAGGACAGGAATAGCTCAGTAAATTGTCCGGGGTGGGGGACGGGCCTGCGTCAGATCCGTCCAGGAAAAGTTCCTGACGCAAGGTCACAGACGAACTCCGGATACAGACAGATACATTTTGGTAAATGACGTATGTATTGATGTATATATTGATAACAGAGGGTTATTCCGTCACTCCCGGAAAAAATCTATTCCAAATTTGTCCACATATCTGCCGAGAATAGACATGGCAAGGCTGAGCATGTTTTATGTCGTTCTACAGGTAATATTCCGTCAAAAGGTAGCAACAGGTTAGAGATATCGATAGCTTTTGCTGCCAGCGTCATTTCATGTAGAACGCTAATATTGTATGGACACTCTCAGTCTGGAAACCCTTTGAACAATCCTTTATACGATCCTAACATGTTAAATTTTATCTCCCCATCTGACATCATTAAAGACCACTAATTCGGTGTAATTTAAATCGGTTTTCTCACTAAACACATTTAGAAGGAATGGCAGATGTGTGCAGATTCGTTAGCGCTGTGTTTATTTCCTGCCAATTAACGAGCCGTCGGTCCGTCCGTTTGCTCAGGTTCTGGAGTCCGTCCTGCCCGCCAGGCCAGCTGACTGTTCCCGCTTTCACAACTCCCGTCAAACACAGACTAATAGGCAAGGACAGGCTCACGTTTCGCCATCATTGAATATTGAAGAATGCCAATTTAAATAACACCTATTAGCGAAGAATTCACTCGTATTCAGTTTCCATGGTGACCACACGTCCCAGCTGTATTGTGGCCTGCCGGCGCTCGTGAGAGAAGACTGCCTGCTTCATGCTCCACAGTTCTGGCACTGCAAGGGTTTAGAACTTATCTGGGATTTTACAATAGTAAGCGAGACATATTTCACAACAGTCAGCTGATGTTTCATTTATAATGAATATTAAAAGTCTAAAAAGCTTACATTTATTCCGCCCATTGATTTTCAGTCACAAGGAAAAGTAATTATGTTATTTGTATCTACATTCAGTAAGTTTACGTGACAAGAGCTACACATGTACAGTTTCATATAGACGTCGGACTTCCAATGTCGATAAGGCAGGCCCTTGTCCGCACAGACGCGGTCTCTCCAAACTATAACAAGTAGCGTGTGGTGTTCAGGAAAAAAAGCACCGATAAGAAGGAGAGGAAGGAGAAGTGTTTAAGCAGCAGTATCTTGACTTGCGTCTTGGACAAGTCGTAAACAGGCACGCCTCTCTGCCCGCCCGCCGGCGAGCTGAACACACATCTCTACAGTCCTCAAGAGTGGAGGGGCACTGGGGTAGAAATTCCCACCAAACAAGCACTTCTGTCGCAGGGCCAATACTCCATGTTGTGCACGTATCGGGAAAAAAGAGTTAGTCACTGCCGACTTTTACCCAATATCCCTACTTTTGCTGATGGAGAGGTGGATTTTGAAGGAAAATCCGTGCGATTTTAGGAAAGATTATAATTTCAATCTCGGCATCACTGTGTCAGGTGGAAAGGGCACGTAGTCGTAACGTGGGGGTAACTAAGAAAGGGATTTCCTAGTTTGGCTGCGTTGCCGGGTTAACGTGGCGCACGCTAGTGTCTAGGTAAAGCTGATAATGCAGCTCGGGGATTTTTTTCGCGCTAGTCGTAA